ATAATAATAATAATAATAATAATAATGATAATAATAATAATAATAATAATAATAATAATAATAATAATAATAATAATAATAATAATAATAATAATAATAATAATAATAATAATAATAATAATAATAATAATAATAATAATAATAATAATAATAATAATGATAATAATAATAATAATAATAATAATAATAAATAATTACAAATATGCCATTAAGCAAAATATGGAATGACAAAGAAAGTTAGCCTCTACTAGAGTTGAGCTCTAGGGTTCAATCTTGCCGCTCTCCTACTTCTCCAAATTTGTAACAAGATTTGAATTTCTAAAAAATAATAATAATAAATAAATAAATAAGAAAGAAAATTAGTAGAGAAAAAAATAAACATAAAAGAAATAATAATTACAAAGATACTATTAACAAAAAAGATAGAGAAAAATATAAAACAAAAACTAATTATAAAGGGGTGCAAATTTAGACCGGATGGTCTGTTTTAATAGAAAAATCGGATGCCAGTTTTAATAGAAAAATCGGTTTTAATAGAAAAATCGGATGCCATAGGATGATGACAGGTGGATAGTTTAAGGGCTCGTTCGGTTACCTATATTGGATTAGATTAGATTAGATGAGATTGGATTAACTCCCTACTGACTAATTAATTATTTAGTTAGTAGCATGTTCGGTTTCTTAGATTAGATCTTCTATTAAATTTGTTAAATTTAGTTATTATATATGAATTGTCTATAAAACCAGTTAGTTTAAAATAATACGATATGATTTTAAGGATAAAATTGTCTTTTTCCTTTTTAATCACCCCCTATTAAATTAATCTCTGGGGGAGAGGTGCTACTAATTTAATGCAATAGTAGCATTTAATAGCGGGCTTTGATTTTAGTAGCGGGTTTGAAAAAGTGTGAATCTTGTCAACCGAACGTGTTATTAGCCCCTACTATTTAGTCAGTAGCACCTTATAGCAGTAACCGAACGAGGCCTAAGTAAAAATAGGGGATAATTTAAATAAAAATATAATTCGGATTCTAATAATTGAAAAAAAAAGAAAAAAAAAAAGAAAAGAAAACCCAGCATAATCCGTAACCCCTCTAACCCTAATTATAATAGCATGATATGTTAAGAGTTAAGACTTAAGAGTGCCGCATATCAAACCCTAATTATAATAGCGTGATTTATCTAACCCTAATTATAATAGGTGATTTGTTAAAAGTTAAGACTTAAGAGTGCCGCATATCAAACCCAACCCTAATTATAATAGGTGATTTGTTAAGAGTTAAGACTTAAGAGTGCCGCATATCAAAACCCTATTAATTATAATAGTCGTGATTTATTAAAAGTTAAAACTTAAGAGTGCCGCGTATCAAAAAAATTAGTGGAATCAGATTTATATTAAATATCGGATTTATATTAAATATCAATTATTAAGAGTTAAATATCCGCTCAGAATTTAATATCAATTATAAATACGTCGTCTACCAAATCATGTGTTCCACGTGCTACAATAGATAATACTAAATATTAAATCAAACACTTAAAAAAAAGGACGTACGAGTAAAACTGGAATTCTGTTATTTGTTCAGAGTGAACTCTTATAATTCTAGCTTCACTAGGATTCAAAATTTGTCTCTCTCTCTCTCTCTTTATTTATATATACTACGTCGTCTCCAATTTTCACAACACTTGATCGATATACAGCCCATAAGAAAACCAATATTCACAGCATTGATCGATCTACAACCAATAAATAAATGGGATGCGAGTTTCGGTACGTGAATGAGTTGCCCGTGGGCTATCGATTCCGACCGAACGACGACGAACTCATGGAGTATTACTTGGGGAATAAAGTGCTGGATAAACCTGTGCCTGGTAAAGGTGTGAAGACTATTGATGCCGACGAGTTCTACAAAGATCCTCCTCACATTATTGGTATGTCAAAGCTAACCTAACCTAACATCAATTAGTTAGTTTTTTCGATGTGATTTTTTTTTTTTTTTTTTCTTTGCTTTCGGCTAATGAATTAAGCTACTTCCTTTTATTGAAGTAAAAAAGTACAACCCTCTGTCGGAAATAGGCGAAAGAGAATGGTATTTCTTCGTTCGGCATGTAAAGAAAACGGCGAACAAACAACAGGAAGGTAAAAAGGAAGAGATTGTTGACGATGAAAACAAACGCGTTTTGCTTGAGCAGAAGAAAGAAAACCAAGAGAATAATGCAATTACTGTTTTGCTTGAGCAGAATGAAAAAAACCAAGAGAAGGAAGAGATTGTTGACGATGAAAACAAACGCGTTTTACTCGAGCAGATCAAAAAAAACCAAGAGAATAATGCAACTGTTTTGCTTGAGCAGAACGAAAAAAACCAAGAGAAGGAAGAGATTGTTGACAATGAAAACAAACGAGTTTTACTCGAGCAGAACAAAAAAGACCAAGAGACTAAAGCAACTGTTTTGCTCGAGGGGAGCAAAAAAAACCAAGAGAATAATAAAGCAACTGTTTTGCTTCAGGGGAGCAAAAAAAACCAAGAGAATAAAGCAACTGTTTCGCTCGAGGGGAGCAAAACAAGCCAAGAGAATAAAGCAACTTTTTTGCTCGACGGGAGCAAAAAAAACCAAGAGAATAAAGCAACGATTGACGAAGAAAACAAAAACGTTCGAAGGGTTGGAGATAGGATTGGATATTGGAAATCAACTGGAATAAAAGAGTACATAATAAATGGTGACAATAACAAAGTTTTTGCATTCAAGATTCATTTTACCTTTTACAAAGGTATCGGCAAGATAACTCCTTGGACGATGGACGAATACCATTTCTTGAAGTCACCGAATCAAGAAAATCAAAGGGTAAGCATGTTTAATTTTTCATCATTTAGTCTAATGATTCATTCGTTTGGTTTTAGTTTTTAGTTTCATGATGTTTATAAGCATGGGCGGATTCGCCAAAAAGAAAAAAATCATTTTAAGTTTCATGATGTTTATAAGTTACAATAATGGATTTCTAAACTGAAAGCAAGGCAATTATTTTTGAAATATAGAAAGTAATTGATTTTTGATAAGTGCATGCATGTAGAAAGACAAGGTTCACTTCAACTAATTTATTATGTATTTGTTTGCAGATGGATGAATGGGTGTTGATAAAAATCATGAGAGGAAAAGATTACAACAAATGCTGTTAGTTTATCATAGTTTTCGTTTCTTATTGCGCACTCCCGTGCACCGGATAGTTTATCGATAGTTTATCGGAGTCGACTCGTC